CTGAACCGAGCTCCAAGCTGCTCCTTTCTTGCAATCTGGGGCTGTAGCCATGATATGGCTTGAAGCCCCCCCCTGCCCGGGGCAGCGCTCCAGGGCTCCAGCTCACCGCTTCCCCGAGGATTTTGGGAGCTAATTGATGGCTTCTCTTCCTTCCTCGTTTTGGGTAAAGCCCCCAAACCCCATTCGCTGTTCAGCAGCAGGGGTGAAGCTCAGCACCTTTGGCCCAGCTCCCTGGGGCAGCTGGTACCCTGGAGACACCAAGGGAAGGAGGGATGGGGCCGGTCAGGGTGCTGTGTGACCCCTGGGGTGCTCAGGGCACCTCCAGGAGGGCCTGGGGATGGCCTGACCTGCTTTTCCTGGCACAGTTTCAGTGGCGATGGTCCCGCGGACCCCTACACCAAGCTGTGCTGCAAGGGTTTCTGCATCGACATCCTGAAGAAGCTGGCCAAGACGGTGAAGTTCTCCTATGACCTCTACCTGGTGACCAACGGCAAACACGGCAAGATCGTCCGCGGGGTCTGGAACGGGATGATTGGTGAGGTAGGGGTGGGCAGGGCTCGTCCCCAAAATTCACCCCCCCCCCCCTTTCCCGGGGGGCCCCGGGGGGACTTCTGCTTGGGGGCCTGTCCAGGCCTGGGATTTTCCTCTTGAGACGGGTTAGAGTTTCTGCATTTGGACTCTTGTTTGGTGTTAGCTGGCCCCTGCATAGGGGATAATTCAGCATGAGAAGAGTGAAGGCGTAATTGTAAATCCCAGGGGTTATGGTGGAGGCAGAGGAAAATCTGTGGGCTAGTCGGAGAGCTGAAAGTTTATCATCCCACGGCTGGCTGTGTTTGTCTCACTGCTAACTTAATCAGTCAATATTAAAAAAAAGTTAAGGTTGCAAAATGAAGCGCTTGGGAGATGAGGAAATGCCTGGAGAAGGTCGTCTGGGTCCCTTAGCCCTGCCTGCTGTGTGTTTGCGTTCCTGCGGGGTTTTTAAGGGCCAGCTCATGCCCCGCTTCCTCCCTGGGATCCCTGCGCGGTCCAGGGAGCCCTTCAGACACGTCCTTGTCCGCGCGGGACCCCGGGCTCCGTTCGCTCCGGTCCGATGCTCTGCCGCGGTATGCAACAAAATGTCGTTTTTCCCTTGAACCGCCAGCACCGGGATTGCTGCCCGAGGGGTGCAGGGCTGGTGCTGCAA